ATCAGGTCCTTTTCAAGTACAATCTAATGTTGACTGAACAATTTAATTTTCATGTCGAAACAGGATGAGTACATGAGTTTGTGACAGCAAATTCATATCGTCAATTTGCCTCGGTAGTCAGTAAAATTTAGTAGCGATGTTAGATATTTTTCTAAGTTTTCGAGCAGCAACCATACGCTTGAAGATCTCGAATAGAACTGTTCAGTCAACATTAGATTGTACTTGAAAAGGACCTGATAAGAGGTCGAAACGTTGTGATTTAAATATATATCTTTTATGCCAGTTTGGTCGAATTTTTTTAAGCAACTTCCTCGTGTTAAGCTACCACTAGCGACAATAAGCCTCACTCAATTAGTTTATTAATTGTCTTCTCCCATTAATGAAATTAATCGCCATCTGGACGTCTCCAGTTCCTTTCAAGGCCAAGGGTCCGATGGAGGTGATCTACACGAAACCGCCGGGTTTCCATCGTGGGCCGCCCGTCCTCAGCAACCCACCGGTCCCCTACGAGGACGCGAGCACCTGGTTCCCCGACAGCGATCAGCCGCCCTCCCACAAGGACGTCTATTATTCGCAGTTGTACGCGCAGTCCTACGACCCTCACTACTACAACTACATCGCCGCGACCGGGAAAGTCCGGCCGTATCTGTATGGGAAGCTGGGCAAGCAGCAGGAGGAGCAGGACGACGGCATCTGGTCGGAACTGTATCGCGGCTTCAAGAAGCACGGCCTGAGGAATATCATGACGCCGACCTTCTTGCTGGGCATGACGCTACCAGTGGTCACCCTGATGCTCTCCGCCCTTGTGCAGAAGCGGTCCCTCGCGCGCTCCGACGGCGCGAGGGAGTTGGACCAGGAGGACACTCTGCGAGAATACCTCGAGAGGCTGCAGAGGGCGATGGAGTGTTACGCCAGTAGGAATTCCCGAGACGCGAAACTAGACGGATGCTAGAATCAAGGGTGCCGCCTGCTGCTAAACGAGCGACTTGTACCGAATGACGCGTCAAAGTATAGCTCGCCCGGCGTTCGGACGGCGACAAATTTATAACGTTTTTCAAGCTATCTATACTTTGGTATTAGAATATATGTGGATTCTCCCTCAGCGCATCATCCTGCGTTGCATCTCCACGTTACTCAACGACAGTTAGATGTGACCGTTTGATTCTAGAATTCGTTTATTTAACGTTACACGGAGAGAATTTTCTCTTTAAGTTTATCCTGAAACTCATACGATCGTACTTTGAAGTAAGCGCACGGCGAGAATAAACATTTTTATACTTAAATCGTGATAAAGATAATACTCCTAAAATTGTGCGTGCACTCTAGACATAAACACGTAACTGCATTTAAGCGGAGACCGGCCACGTTGATCAAGCACGATAGTTCGCAGTCTATTATTTTCTAATGTCACATACGATACATAATCGTGCTTCGTGAACATTTAAGTACATGAATACATAACGCTCTTAGAAATGTCACGTGGATGCAAGCTTTCGAAGATATCGAGGACCGCATGGATTCGTAAAGCAAATTACGCCTGCAACGTAGCGATTAAAATGAAGCGACGTACTCGCAACGCGCGTTGAAAAAAAAACTTTCGAAGTAAAATCTTTCTCAAGCAAGAAAGATTTTGTGCGGATACTTTAATTTCCATTTAGCAACAAAAGGCAGTTTCCGGCGGGAACAAAAACACGCGTAAAAAGCGACGTTTTGCACACGCGACTCATATTATTATACGTCGTGCTACTGTAACACAGATCCAATGACACGCGAGCGTTCCCGCGATGCGTTATTAATGTGTTATGCAAGACCCACGTCTCTCTCCTGTCTGTCGCAAGTCGTTAGTTGCTAGATGTGTGCTAGACAAAAAGGAGGAAAGGTAAAACCTGCTAAAAGGCTGCTCTTCCGGGTTAAATTAATTTAGGAGAATTAAATAGCGAGAGGCGAGCCAGACTTGCCGATGTTGCGGCATCAAACACTGTGTGTACATAACATGTAACTAATATACAAAAAAACATATATATATAATACACTCGCGTTAATTAAAGCGCATACTGCGCGTGCTTTGTTTGCTGTTGCTGGCGCAACGAACGTTTCCCACATTATCCATCAATTCCGGGAAATCGAGCGCGGAAATCCTCTCCTCTTTCTTTTCAGGAAAAGAAGGAGAAGGGGGCGCGATAGTGAAATCTTCATGAGAACTAAACTTTCGCGTTTCAATCATCGTTGCACCTGTTCGCCGGAAGAAGATAAATCGAAGGGGCGAAAGAACTAATTACCGCAGCAACAATATTAATTATTTCTCCTCTGTAAAGACCGGCGCCTCTCGTTGCGCAAAGATCTACGGCTCATGAATAATTGAGTTATTTATCGAGTTGGAAGGGACGAGACAGAAGAATGATCTATCTCTCCTCCCTGCGGTGCAGCGGGACTGGGACTTCGAATTCTAATCTTCAACGCGCGCTGCAACCTACGCCTTTTATCTCCTTTCATCGCGGACGCTCGTCTAATTTACGACCTTAATATATTAGTTCGGGCTAACGTAATTGACCTTGTTGTTAAATTACTAATCCGGCATCGTTCGCTGGAACTGCCGTACGTTCAAGTCGCGTCCGCTGGAAAATATATCGCGCACAAGTTTTCAAGCGCATTCTTTTGTACATTGTGCAACGTGCGCGTTAGAAGCGGTAAATCGTGGTCCGTGCAGAAAAATTTATCGCAATATAATCTCAGTTTCGATAGAGAATTGCGCAAACAATTCATCGAATATTTCGAAGCGATATCTTTCACGTTTGTCGATCGCAAACAAGTTTATTATCTATTCTAGTGGCAGTGTGACTGTCGAATTGAGTTCTTCGTTTTATTTTGAAAATGTAAACGGGCCATTGAATGCGGAACAACGTGTAAATTTAGTAAAGTACAGTGATATCGAGAATAGAATCGATTTAGTTTTAATAATCGCGGAGAATTTTGTTACACCGCCTTTTATTTTGTCAGTAGATACGAAAGTGTAATAAAACATTAATTTACGACACAACCAAATATTATAATGCGTGAAATAAAGATTATTACTATTCACGAAGTAACTGTGGAAATTTCTGTGAGAAATATCAATTGACAGCACGCAGAGGGATGAGTCGTGTTCACAGTTTAGAAAGTAATACACAGCTTAGTAAGTAATCGGATCGGCGCATCAGGATTAAGCTGATCACGCCGGTTATGCCAGTTCTGTCCGACGGAACACGATAAGTTACGATACCTTCACAGTTCTGGAACGCTAAGAACCTGTCAGCGTGTGCGAACCGTTATCAATAAAATGTAGGTTGTGCGTACGGATATCTGCTTCTAATTAGCTAAACCAACAAAGTTGCCGAATAAAAAGTCCTTCGTGGCTCACAGTATCCTTCGGAGGATTTTCATAGATCATAGTCTCCAATTTTACATGGACGTCAAATAAAATTACATACAACTACTAAAGGTTAATAATGCAGATAGTTCTATGGTTTCGTAAGATTATTTATATTAATTGAATATTGTTCAATTATTTTCGAATGATTTCTTAAGAAATAACTTCTCAAAAAAACTTCTAGAACATGTGCGCGTACGTGCGAATGAAAATTAATTTTAAAAAACCACCTAGCGAAACATGCGATACTTGTTAACTTATGAGCATCCTTTTTTTTTTAATTTCTATCTTGCAAGGATGTGGAGTTTCGCGGAAACAAAATTTCGTACGTCGAGTTGAATTTACGACTTGTAACGTTCACGGTTGATATTAGGTTGAGGAACAGACTTATTTAACGCCGTATAAACTTAGGCCGCCCGAATCGTTGACAAATTGATTGCAATCGAATTATTTAATCGAACGTTTAATGGCTCAGCTCAAGGGTCATGAGACTCAGCCGTCGTGCCTGTGGCATGAATAATTATACGCTGCTGACAAGGCCGGCATGCAAATTGTGCATCATACAAGGTAGGCATTGCACGAGATGGATACCGAACGCATGTTTTCAAGACATTCAAAACACAAAATCTAACACACACACACACACGCACACGCACACACGCTGGTTTAATAACACCTGTAGTTATAACTTTGTAACACGCATGCTCGTTTACACGTGGAAACGTTATTTTATCTCCATTCACAAAAATCTTGGAATCTTGATCTCGTTAAAAAAATACAATAGATATTTCTTTTCATAATTTTATCTTAAGTTGGCAATGCAATCGTAACAACTTAGCGCTTAGCGTTTGCCAACAGGTCGTAGAGTAATAATAACTACTGCGATAAAATAAAATTGGATTTAACCGTCGTTTATACGTCAGTTACAACTATCGATGCTATTAAATCCGACTGATGGTGACGTAGTCAATATTTCACAGGATTTTTTTGAGGGTCACGAAGGCGATGGGGGGTAAAGAAATAAACCTGCGATTTATTAAAATAAATTCTAATTTGCTCCATAAAAGTCACAGAAGCTACATCATGAAAATTCTACATTTGATATAGTTAGGAGTTATAGGTATTGATATTGCCCTCGATGAAACGCGACACTTCCTACACATTTAACAACTGTCTTGAATATAAGAAAGATACACCATACTAAAGTGTATATTATGCATGCGCGTGTGAATATGACAAGTATGTAAATAATATGAATAATACACATATGTATATATAATATATGCATATAATATACGTATATTATATATATATTATAATTTTAAGAAATGATTAAAGAGTATTTATATGTGCATGTATGTGTATGCTTTGCGTTTAGTATAGTGTATCTCTTTTTTTCGTTAACTACTAAGTGGTGCTGGCGACAGAGGCAAAACTTTTATTGGCATGTGATCGTTGCAGCACTTTGACCGTTGCACGATACCTCATTGTCGCGAATGAATGATAAGCTGGTTTGTTCACGATGTTCATTTAAACCCTATTTAACTGGTCAGTCTTTGTCTCGACAGACATTAACGCATAGTTGATAATTATATTTGATTTTATCGTTGTGTCAAAATCGCGCTGTATAAGGGCAAGTACAAAATATTAATGTGCGCTTACCGTCGGATTAGCGTGTCGTCAAATCATGCAATTTTTATATACAAAGAATGTCTCAACACGCACGAATGGCACTTTAAGGACAAGTATTTAGAATCGATTAATTTCAACAAAATCGTTAATCGTTAATTAATCGTTAAATGATCTATTCCTAAAAATATAATCTACACAAGAAGAAATAAATGAATCAAAAAAAGAATGGACAAGAATTTGCTCTGTAGAGTTAAATTTCAGATATTAAAAATTGAGAAACGGGTCCTATCATTCTTTAAAACGATTTTTTTAAATAAATTTTACGTCCAACTTGCTTCCAAAAATTAACAATGTAATTTCACAGTATAAATTCTCGTCAATTGTTTCACATTCATTCATTTTAGTAAATTGATTTTCGCGACCGAAGGCAACAATTTGCTTTAATCTTGGTCTGCTATAACAACAAAAATCTCTCTATATTTTTGTTATTTACTCGCTTTCACTAACGAGCTGCTTTTCAAGACTAGACCTGACTATATATGTATGTATACATATGTGTATACATATATATACATACATATTATGAAGTGTAATCTATCTATTATTATATTTTTAATATATGGTAGATTATACTTTTGCATATACACGCTCGGAACGCAGTGTATATCAGCTACGAATTTTAAGAACAATCGGTTCGAAATTATGCCTATTATTTATTTCCTATAGGAGCGTATCACTTTGCACATGTTGCATTGCTTTCGACTAAGAGAGGCGCGTAGAGCACAGTGCACTGTGCGGACAAAATATGTTCAGCTCAGTTTACCGCGCAACTACGATATAATTATTATCTATAATAACAGATGTTTAGAGATGGTTCATATACAACGTATCTTCCAGTAAGATTTCAGTGTTAAGTAGCTATAAAATTATGCCCGGAACACGTACCAGAGTCTTGTTTGAACAAAGCTTTACTTCAATAGTTGTAAGTTTACTAATAGTCATAATAAAGTCCTTTTTACACATGTGTATTTATCGTCTCAATATGTATATATTATACAATAATATGGCAATATCCTTTTTTATCTACAATATAAATTAATCTGAATTATTTCGTTTTTCCACGCAATTCTTTAATACATTCGCTAGAACACGCTAAAACTCTTTTTTTTTGTTATGTAGGCAGTTTAAGAAAAGTTACAAAGACATTGAAAAAGGAGCAAACTAAATATAATATACAATCGTAACGTATTATAGCCTCTCCTGCTATTTTCCGTTTCTTTACTGCGAAACATCGTCTATGATGAAGGCTAACACTTTCTAAAAGATTATTTGCTATAATACTCACATTATCTTGCATATTTCCTCTCTCTCTCTCTCTCTCTCTTTCTTTTTCTCCGGCGATATAAGGATACGAGTATCCCAAGGTTATCTATTATGCGCTAATTTATTCAAACTTCTCTTCTTTAAAGGCGAGATTGATAGCTTGCCCGACGTCCTTCACGATAAATGCCGGCTTGCATAGGCCGTCATCGACCGGCAAGAAATCTCTGGGACTGTGTTCGGGTATAAATTTGGAATCTCGCTGGTGCACGCCAGTCTCAACTAAAATACTAATGCAAGCCTTCGCGCTGGGATCCCTCATGTTCTTCCCAAGGAGTTTCTCGAGGCTGCGGGACTTGGTGCCCTCCCCGGACTCGTAGCGGGATAAATACTTGTCGTACAGGTTCGCCCCGAAAATATCGGTATTAATATTGTCGCTGCAAAAGTCGTACACAAATTATTTTATAATATATTTTCTAGCGCGCGTGAACAAAATCTATCAACGCATTGAACAAGTGCTGGCTGTTCGATACACACCCAATGGCATAAATCGTGTCGATATTGTCGATGCCGATGCTTCTGGCGTGATTAACGAGCATTTGATTGGCGTGGTAATACGTAATCTCACTAGGTTTTCCGACTAGAGCAGTGTAGGTCATATCTTTGCCCGTGACTTTCTTGTACAAGTTCTCGAGACACAACAAGAAAGCGCCGTGGCCGTATCGCGGGATCGGCGCCTCCGACGCCCAAAGCAGATCCATATTGCATGCCAACACTGGAATGTGTGGATATGGAATAGCAGTGGGCAATCCCGTGGGCATCCCGTTGGTAACTAGAAGATCAACCATTAATTGCAACGGCGTTTCCCAGTTTACCGGCTCGCTCAGGAGCACGATTCCCTCGATTTGCGGGAAAGTCGGGTCGATGGGCCCGCAAATCGGATTCCTCTTCTTCACGTTTATGTAATCTAAGCATGGAAAGTTCCTCACTAGTTCCTCTATGGTTGTCGTCTTCCTGAAGCCCAGCTCGCGGGCTATGTTCGTTATTGGACCTTGACCCGAGATGAGAACCTGTTTATCGTGAAGATAGTCGAACATTTGCAACGGTGAGTGGGCCAGGACGACCTGCGACTCCATGACTTCCATGCCTATCCACTTGGACAGGTCCGCCGCTTTCTGGCTGCGCAGCGAATTTCCGCTGTTAGTGACGAACAGCGTGGGGACGCGAAACTTGCCATTGTCCCCCTGAAGCCGTTTGAAGGACTCCTTTACCGGCGGCAGTACTTGTTTCCCGCGTATTATGACACCGTCAATATCGAAGAGTAAACCAAACTTTGGGTTTGTACTTAAATACTGCGAACAGAACAAAATGGATCCACGTTATCTCAGATGGTATATAATTTGAGCGCTTGACATTCTATAGGTAGGACATAAAGGACGCAGGACTTTTACATTTGTAACGTCAAACTATTTATAGGCCTTAGGCCCGGTTTCACCAAACGTCGCTTAACTTCAATCTTAGTTTAATTCACGTTTGTCTCTCTCTCTCTCAAGTAACAGTTGGAAAGACACAAAGAGCAAATTAAACTAAGCTTCAAGTTAAACAACCTTGGTGAAACCGGGCCTTAGTGTGCGCACTAGTGCGAGCAACTGAATTCGCTGTGTGTTTCTATTCTATGTCGAAATGGCACAAGTGCAAACACAAAAGTACCATTTCACACATCTCTATACGAAGGTATGTAGTCTTGCAAATGATAAAAAAGAGGCTACAATTTGACGCAAATCGTGTAAAAACGATACAACAATCGTGTCCGGTGGCAACGCAAGTATTACGAATACTACAGCACTTTTCATACAACAGAAGCGCCAACGAGAACAATCAACAAAGGCTGATCGATCAAGAACTTAAATTTTCAACTTGAATTCAGCGATAAAACATCTCGAGAACTTTGAGCGAGGACACCCGCCGAGGCGTCGATAAATTATTTATCGGCGCTTGGACGATAAGCAAGAAGAGATCGGCATCAGACGCGTCGGCGGAAAGGAGACAGACGCGACCTCCGACGAAGGTGCCACAGCCTGACACCTCTCCGTCAGCGCGTACGCGCGTTGCGTACGCAAAACTAAAAATAATGCGTCGCACAATGGCAAAGTTATGAAAGAGCATTATGTAAAATACGAACAATAATAACGCGCGATCGCGATCTCGGGCGCGTCGGGGTGAGGGGAGGAAGAGGGAAAGTGAGAGAGAAAAAGAGAAGAAAGGGAGAGAAAAGAACGAGGGATCGACGATCGCGCCGTAAAACGGTAGAACGGGAATCTAGCGCGGGTCGATCGATCGTGGGCAGCCGCGCTTGAAAAGGGAAGAGGCGAAAGTGGCGGGGAAACTCACTCTGACTCCGGAGAACCTCGCGACGTCCAGTCGCCGTAGGACGCTGGCGATCGCCATGTCTTCCCGCGTCTGTCAGTCAGGCGAACGGCGTGGCGACGGCGTGCGCGCGCGATCTCGTCGCGACGACCTCAAAACGCTCGCGGGTCGCCCGTCGCGGCTCGGTCGTGCATAATGACGCGCTTTGAGGTTATGTCGGTCTCGCGGCAAGCACTTCGAACGGTACGTGTGCTACCCGCACGTGCCGTAAGAGGACATGACAGGACATGATGATAGCGGCGCAATTGGCGGTCGGAGGGAAACGGGGAGGAGGGGGAGACGTTCCGTCCCCGTGAGCGGCACTTTCCTGCACTCGCCGCGCTGGAATCAAAATGGGACTTGGACCGGTGTTCAATAATTGTATTAAATAGCTGCTTTCCTTTTACACTCAAGTGATAATGAGTCAATCAGTTATGTGAGTATTTTATACTCAGATATGACGTCATTAATGTGAGTCTATTAAAGTCACTAAAGCACACGGTCTTGATCGTGTGCAAAAACTCTCGGAATTCCAATTCTTGGAAATGCTGAAAAATTCTTCGAATTTAGATAGTGCCACCTCTTTGCTGACCGTATTCTCCTGATACTTTGTCAGTTTTCGAGATTCTAGATTTTTGCGATTTGAAGTTTGAAATTCTCGGAAATACTAGACAATTCTTGGAATTTAGATAGTGCCACCTCTTTGCTGATCATGTTCTCCTGATACTTTGTCAATTTTCGAGATTCTCGATTTTCGCGATTTGAAGTCTAAAAATTTGAAGTCTAAAATTCTTGGAATTCCAATTCTTGGAAATACTGAAAAATTCTTGGAATTTAGATAGTGCCACCTCTTTGCTGATCATGTTCTCCTGATACTTTTTGAGATTCTTCATTTGTGCGATTTGAAGTTTGAAATTCTCGGAATTCCAATTCTTGGAAATGCTGTAAAATTCTTGGAATTTAGATAGTGCCACGTCTTTGCTGATCATGTTCTCCTGATACTTTGTCAGTTTTCGGGATTCTCTATTTTCGCGATTTAAAGTTTGAAATTTTTGGAAATTCAGATAATGCCACCTCTTTGCAGATCATGTTCTCCTGATACTTTGCCATTTTCTCGATTCTCGAGAGTGATTGGTGATTAGTGAGTTTAATACTCACATTAATGACGTCATATGTGAGTATAAAATACTCACATAACTGAGTGACTAAGGCCCGGGCTCACAGGTCGCATTTTCGCAAATAAGCTTAAAAAAATATATACATTGATATATTTGTGAATGATATATTGATGACAACATATAGTGTATATATATACACATATATATAACCTTGTAAATAGCTTACCGAATTTTGTATCAGTAGTTGGCATCACTACTTAACAACTAGTTAAGCTAACTAGCCACTGTGAGCCCGGGCCTAAAGCCCGTATCAGACTACGGATTGGGATTGGGATTAGATTGAAATTTGACCAATCAGAGTAAAAGTTACCAAACTTGAGATTAGTAAACTTTACTGTGATTGGTTAAATTTCAATCTAATCCCAATCCGTAGTCTGATACGGGCTTGAAAAATAGCATCGTCTGCAGCGGGCTTCAGTCCCAGTCTACAATAGAGATTTAAGCCCTAAGCCTTAAGAAATTGACCAATCACAGTCGCGCATTCTACTCATACTTGACCGTGATTGGCCAATTTCTTAAAGCTTAGGGCTTAAATCATCTATTGTAGACTGGGACTCAAGGCCTTCACACACAAAATTCCGTAAGGACGTAAAACGTAAGCGTAAGAAAATCAACAGATTGGATTTGCTACTGCTTGCGTTATTGCTTTACGTTCTCGACTGTGATTGGTCGATTTTCTTATGTTTTTCACTGTGTCACGGTGGGTCTGTTCTTTATTGCTGCACTCCTGAACTAGTGCACACTGGTGCAGTTGGAATGAGAGGTAATCTATTTGTTTCATTTTAACTTATTGCACTACATAGTTCAGTAGTGCAGTAATAAAGAACAGGCCTATGATGCGGAATAGGAGTACGGAATAGAGAGTGCGTTATGGAAACAAGCAATCAGAGCTTTGCCGTATCAACGAGTGACGGAAATGTCTGGCTCTGATTGCCTGTTTCTATAACGCACTCTCTATTCCGTACTCCTATCAGAGAGAAGCCTGAGAGATGTCACGGCCCCGTTTTTCGTGATACGCGAATGCGATACGCCCTCTGTGGACATTGAAAACGTGGACATTGAACTACGTAGCCAATTTGCACATTTTGCTAAGTGGGTAACGCAGATTTGCACAATTTTAGCCCCGTCCCGCGCTATGGTTAGATCCCATGCAA